CCTCTTCATGTCATAATTGACGATGAGGGTTTTGGCTTGTCTTTGGCCTGTGGTGTCTACCCAGCAGGCTTGCCTCATATGTACCTCTTCTGTTCTTAGGTAATCTTTGACTGTGTGTCTGCCTATGCCACAGTAAGGCTCGGGTCCTATAAGGGGTCTTTCCGCCCCTAGTTTTGCTAGCCTGTCGGCTAGTTCATTCCCGGATATGTCTTTGTGTCCTGGAATCCATCTTAATGACAGCCTGTTGTTGCTGCCAAGAAGGTTCAGCTTTGTCCTTACTTCTCGTACCAGCTTCGAAGTGATTCTATTGCTGCATAGTGCAGTAATTGCCGCTCGACTGTCCGAGAGGATCGCAAAGTCCTTGTTTGTGTACCCACGCTTCATATTGAGCTCTGCACATCGTCCTATGGCGCAAACTTCAGCTTGGAATATGCTGGTGTATTGGCCTAACGATTCATGGTATTTGATTCGTGGTCCTACTACTCCAAGGCCAGTGCCTTGGTGTGTTAAAGACCCGTCCGTATACCATGCTATAGTGTGACTCGCCATGGGGTGTACTTCCTTCATGGTGGTCCATTCTTTTTTGTTGCTCAGATGAGCAGAGAAATTCTTTTCAAAGATGAATTCTACTGTCATTTCGTCCCTGGGGTGTGAGCTCAGGGGAAGTTCGACTGATAGTTTTGCTGCATCCCTAGAACTAAGGATGCGGTCACTGCCATTCCCACAAGAAGTGATTCTTAGTAGGGTGGCCTTCCGCTGTAACTCTAATACGCAGTGTAGCGGAGTGAGTTCCATGAGAACTTCCAGTGCCGCAGTGGGGCAGGTTCTCATTGCTCCTGTCATACATATGCATGCCAGTCTTTGCAGCCTTTGGAGCTGTTTCTGTGCGGTAACGAGCCTTGCTCGTTTACCCCAGGCTACTGACCCATATGTGAGTATTGGCCTCACAATTATAAGGTATAACCATCTGATAATTTGGGGTGAGGTCCCCCAAGATTTCCCTGCAATTTTCCGACAGGTGAAGAGAGCCCTGAGGCACTTATCCACTGTCTTTTGCATATGGGTTGCAAACGTTAGCCTTCTGTCGAAGGTAACTCCGAGGTACTTAACTTCCCGGCTTATTGCTACGGGAGTACCTAGTAGTATGATTTGTCTCATCTTCTTCAGTTTGTACTTCTTTGTAAAAGGAACAATGACTGTTTTTGCGGGGTTGAGGTTAAGCCCAACTTCCCTGCACCAGTCGAGCGTTATCTTGAGTCCGAGTTGGACAATATCGCAAAGCGTTTCTTCAAATTTCCCTTTGGCTACTATTACTATGTCATCGGCATAGCCCTGACATTGTATTCCTCTGTCGGCGAGTTTCTTTAGTAGTTCATCTACTAGTAGGCTCCACAGTAAAGGAGACAAGACTCCACCTTGCGGACATCCTCTGCTTGTGGCAACGGTCATTGTGCTGTTGCCAATGGTCGCCATTGCCTGCCTGGAGCTTAGCAAGGCTCCAATCCACCTTCTTGTTGTCGCGTCTATATTCCTTCTGGCGAGGGCCGCTAAGACAGCATCATGCGACGCATTGTCAAAGGCTCCCTCTATATCCAAAAAGGCGCAGATTGCAACTGCTTTGTTGTCTACTACCCCTTCAAGGGTGTGACAAAGTTGGTATAGTGCAGTGTCTGTTGAACGACCTGCCCTGTAGACGTGCTGCGTGGGTTGCAGCGGACAGTCCTTAAGAACTGTGCTCCTAATATGGTAGTCTACCAGCTTTTCCAACGTTTTAAGGCAAAACGAAGTTAAGCTGATAGGTCTGAAGGACTTTGGGTTGGTGATGTCTTTCTTCCCTGCTTTGGGGATGAAGACCACCCTAGCTCTACGCCACGCATTTGGGATGTGTCCAATTGCTAGGCTGCTTAGGGCTAGGTTACTTTCTGGTGCATCTTTGGCCATAGCCTTGTGCAATCTTGCCCCTTCATGGGCTGTGCTGATTGCCTCACAGAAGTCTCTGTAGTTCTTCCGTTTGGCCTTCCTGATCTCTTTGTTGTAGAGCGTCAGGCTGTGTCTTTATTTTCTCCAGTTATCCTCGCTCGTTTTTGCTCTGTTGAAGAGCCGGCGGGTGGAGATTCTGAGCCGTTCCAGGTTGTCGTTCCACCATGGGGCGTCTCTATCTGCTTTCCGTCTGCCAAGAGGGCAACTGTCCTCAAAAGCATTGGTTATCTTCTTGCAGAGGTTATCCACTGCCTGATCTAATTCTAAGGAATGTCTGGGTATACCTGACGGTTCGTTAGAGAGATCGAGCTCAAGAGAGGACTTGAACCGATCCCAGTTTGTCTTCTTGGGATTCCTTTTGGGGGCGTCCCTAGCGATGTTGAAGTCTAATTCAAATCTAATGATTCGGTGATCCGACATTGATTCCTCTGGCGACACATGCCAGTTCTTAATAAGTGGTCCTAGAGACCTGCTCATCAGGGTTAAGTCTAGGACCTCTTCTCTTACTCTAGTAATGAATGTCGGTGTGGACCCGACATTACCGATTTCTAGGTTACTATTTACTATAAATTCTATTAGCTGCTCACCTCTGTTGTTGACGTCGGTGCTTCCCCATATCACGTGATGCGCATTGGCGTCACACCCGATGATTAGGGGCATCTTCTTCCTCCTGCAGCATTCCACGAGCCCGATGATTTCCGGTGGTGGGCATGCTGCATCCCCAGCAAAATACGCCGATGCTATGGCGATCGCTGGTAGTCTTCCTGCGCCGCTCACAGTTACTGCGACACAGTCCCTGCTTAGGAACTCTGAAAAGATATTATAGTTGATATCTTTTCTTATTAATATGCATGCTCTGGGGTGTGCACCCCGTTGGTCACATATTACCTTTGATTCCTTGGTGTACAGGCCTTTAATGCCCTGATTGCACCAAGGCTCCTGAATGAGAGCTAGCCCGAGATGTTGGTTGGTGAACAACCTGGCCAGGACGGCTGATGCCGCCTTGGCTCGGTTTAGGTTCACCTGGGCTAGCCTCGTGCTGCTGTGTGCAGCCATCATTGGAGCGGATGCTCCATCTTTGGTGAAGGGGGCGGGTGTTCCCCTTCACTACCATCCGTCAGAGTGACGTCGGCCTCCATATCGTCGTTACTGTCGGAGGGCGTAGGATGCTCCTTATCCTCATTCCTCTCAACTGTAACGGCGCTAGGGTCCTCCTCTGTGCCCATAGGCTCCTGTGGCTCGTCGAGGGATTCATCGACCTCCACTTTGCCATCTGGGGGACCAGAGGGCGCTCCTTCCGTTGCGGCCACCTTTGCTGCCTTTCTCAGCCCACTCACCGAGACGGTACCGAACCTAAAGTTGAGCTGATGCCCTCTAGCTACGATCTCGTCTCGGGTGAGCTGGTCGATCCCGATGACAAGGAGTGCTCCGCCTCCATCGTTCCTCCGGGAGACCACTCTCCAGGCGTCCGTCTCCAGCCTGTTCTGGCGCCCGAGCAACATGAGGAGTTCCTCATTCTCTCTTTCCGCGCTTCTGGGGCAGAAGACCGTGACGTTATATGCCGCGGGGATATCTTCTCCCACCTTGGTTTCTAGGGGCACGCCCTTCCACGTCCTGAGCAAGGGCACAACGGCCCTCAGCCAGTCCGCTGAGTCCTGATCCAGGCAGTCGATTATGAGGTATCCTACCCTGAAGTGGATGCCCCTAAATGCAACTGCCGTGTCCCATGCCGACGTGATTATGTCGTCCATGATGGCCTCCTCCAACTCGGACAGTTCATCGTGGCTCAAGTGCACCTGTGGGAACTCCGCAGGTAGCACCGCCACTCTGACCCTCTTGGCAGCCTCCTCATAGGAGGTGTGTGTGCCAGTAAGAGGGGCTGTGGAGCTGAAGGGTGGCTGCTTCATCCGTGCTGCCGCCGCCTTTGAGGTGCAAGGCTCCTCAAGCTTTGGGCAGGAGGGAGTTGCCTTGACCTCATTGGTGCCCTCTGACTTCGACCTTTTTGGGGTGTCTGTCGGAGGGGTGAGGGTGCTGTTACCCCGCTTGCTGGCAGGTGCACTACTTGGGGCCGCTGGTCGTGGCTCCTTTGCCTTCCTCAATGCCTCGTCAGGTGACATGCCCTGCTTGAGGTATCTGAGGTACCATTTCGCTTTGGACCCCGGCAGGCCTCTCCTGTTGGGGTCGTCTATGCCTCCAGGTTGTCCTCTGGCTGGGAGGACATCCTTCTTCGCGGCAGGCCTGGTCCTCTGTCCAGCCGCGGGGGGTGGGCGAGCCAGCCGGGATGGTCCTGCTGGTCGCGCACATTCCCGGACTGGAACATAAGACTGTTGTGGGGGATGTCCCACATCTTGCGTCCGAGACGCACTCCTGGCGGTGGCTGCGCTCCTGGGTGGGGATGGTCCCACCTGTGGTCGCTCCCCGTCGAGGAGTTGATTTTCAAAGTGTCTTGCGACACTCGAGGCAGGGATGTCCTGCGGTAACTTATTTGTGTTATTCTTCCTCATAGTGAATCCCACGAGTTGCGGAGAAAGTAAGGTCCACCCGGGCAGAGATCCGCCATACCCGGGTAAGGCGCGGTTAGGACAGGCGGTCGCCACTTGCCTGAACCCTCCGTGAGAGACTGGGCTAGTTGTTAATCCGGGCCCCCAGCCAGGCCGACTATCGGCACGGGTCGGATGACACCTTAGTCCGGCACCGGAGTGAGATTGCGGGAAGGGAAGTTGGTAGGTAATTGTGAGGGAAGAGGGGTGTGTGAGGCTACAATTTAAAGACGGCCAAACAAGCGTCTTATCAGTACACCGACTCCGGTGTACCCGCTGTTTGTCCGGGGTTGCTTATTCGCTTGCGCTTATTCACAACTAACCTTGCGAAGAAGGCCGTTCGCTATCCGCAACCTGCGACCCGCCTGGTGGCCTCAGCTAAGCCCCCCCTTGAACATCTCACTAGTTCGCGAGGAACAGGACAGAGCGCTTTAGTTGGCCATGCTTGGTTTTGAGTGTCACCACACGGACTAGGTTGTCTTATCCTGGGTGTAATTCTAAAATCCGTCCGAGGATCCATTGTGTTGGCGGAGTTCTGTCGTCCTTTATTATAACCAAGTCGTTAATCTGCAGATTGGGATGCTCCTGATACCACTTTGGTCGTTTCTGGAGATGAGATAACCAATCTTGAGACCACTGCTTCCAAAAGAGATGTATCATTTTTTGCTGATTTAAAAATTGTTCCCGAAATGATGTGTTTTGTGTTTGACATTCTGGCGGTGCCAACATAGCATCTCCTATTAAGAAGTGTGCTGGTGTAAGTCCATTAAGGTCGTCAGGGTCTGCTGTGAGTGGGCAGAGCGGCCGCGAATTGAGACAAGACTCGATCCTGATCAGGACAGTGGATAATTCTTCATAAGTAAGGCGTGTGTTGACTACTACGCGCTTCAGATGATGTTTGACTGATTTAATGTTCGCTTCCCAAAGTCCTCCGAAATTCAGAGAGTGCGGAGGGTTGAAGTGCCACTGTATACTATGGATAGCCAGCTTTGGGGAGACTACAGATTTGAAGTCCGATTTTAGCTTGTCGTAGGCAAGCTGAAGCGTCTTATCTGCGCCGACAAAATTGGTTCCATTGTCGCTGTATATGTGTCTACAAAAACCTCGACGTCCAGTGAAGCGATCTAGCGCCCATATAAAATGTTCTGCTGTGAGCCCAGTGACTGCCTCCAAGTGGATAGCTTTGGTTGCCAGGCAAATAAAAATGGCGATGTATCCTTTGTAATAGCTCGTTCCGCGCATACGAGCAGCTTTAATTTCGATAGCACCAGTGTAGTCCACCCCTGTTGCCCAGAAGGGCCGATTCAGCGGAGTTATCCGATGGAGCGGTAGGTCTCCCATTAATTGTGCTCCTCCGTGAAGCGTCATCTGATGCGAGAACTTGATGAGTAATTCTGTAAGAAAATGCGATTTAGGTAAAATAATCGGATGTTTTCGATGATAAGGTAGCTTTGAGTTTTGTAAGCGTCCACAAATTCGTAAGATTCAAGCAAGAACGGAGTTAGATTTGCTATCTTACTGTTCTTGAAGATTGGTTTGGATGATTATAAGACGCGTATTTCTTAGGGAAAAGATTCCGCTTGCACAATCCGAACCAGGCAAAATAATGCTGCATATAATTCGTGGATAGAAAGAAGACCAGTTTGTCGAGATGAGCTGTTGTGCGCGTTGTTGTAAAAGCGTAGCATGAATGCAGTTACGCGAAGTAGTTTTGGATAGGAAGAAAAACGATGAATAAATGTTTGCTGAGGTGCAGATATGAACACATTTATTTTGTTAGTCTTGGCTCCTAACGTCGCTTCATCGGCTGCATGTTGTTTTACGTTGATTGTAGGCCATTCATCTGAAGGTTTGCTTAGCCAAGACGGTCCGCGCCACCACAAATGAAATTTGGCCAGATCCAAGGGTGTTAATCCTCGGGTTGCACAGTCTGCAGGATTATCAGCTGTGCTTACATGTCCCCATTGATTTGGTGTTGAGTGGTCCAAGATGAATGCTACTCGATTAGCCACAAAGGTTTTCCATCTGTTTACGTCGCCATGTATCCAATGAAAAACTATTGTAGCATCTGTCCAATAAAACGTAGAAAGTGGTGCAGAGGTCCATCGCTTGACTGTTTGTATCCATTTCACTAGTTTGATAGCGAACACAGCTCCACACAGCTCGGTCAAGGTATGGTCATTGGTTTTGTCGGTGAGATTTTTGACTTAGCAAATATGAGCGATGTGTGGTATGAGTCATCGTTCTGGACAACTCGAATGTACACGGCTGCTGCATAGGCTGCTGACGAGCCGTCGCAAAATGCGTGCAATTGAATTGACGATATATTTGTTGTCGTAAATCGTAGCCAACGAGGTATGGTGATGCAATCGATGTGTTGCATCGACGTACGAAAAGCTTTCCAACGTAGTGCTAATTCTTCGGGAACTGGATCGTCCCAACCTAGGGAGACCTGGGAGCCATCTTGCTGTGTTTGTTTGGCCATTGTCACGTCCTTCATGATGAGCTTTGCCGAGACAATAACCGGTGCGATAAGTACTAAGGGGTCGAACAATCTCGCGATGTTAGACAAGATGATTCGTTTGGTCGATCCTAGTGAAACTTTGGCGTGAATCTTGTACTTGAATGCGTCCTGGTTTGGCAACCAATACATTCCCAAAGTTTTTATGGTGTCGTCATTATCCCAATTTAACAGCGTTTGGCTGCATTGATGTTCTACAGGGACTGCTGATAACAAAGATGCGTGGTTACTTGACCATTTTCGGAGTTCCATACAAGCGGATTTTATAGCTCCTGTGACTTGTAATCTTCAGCAGATCTGATTGAGTAGGCACTAGAGGTGGAGAACTATCGATGGCACTATCGGGACTATCGATGGTTTGCCACTATCGATATGCAATCGATAGCGGCGCGCACTCTCGATAGTGGTCAATCGCTATCGTCGATTGTTGTCGATATTTTGGTTTTCCCATGTCTACGTTAAAAGTGTAAAGGAAAGGAAATTGCGCGAATTTGTTACAGAGTTATATAAATTGTTATTAAAAACAAAAGATCCATTTTTCTTCAAATAGGTAAGATATTGTTATTTTGTTGTTATATTGTAATTTTGTATTATAAAGTTAAAAGCCAAATTTTGTGTGACAATAACAAAAGTGCTACGTGAGATGCCATTACTGCTATTACGGTTTTTTGTGAAATACATACGCATATATACATACATTCGTTTCTTTTTCAAAAAGATAAATACATAAAAATAAAAGTATACATTTAATTAAAGGAAAACGCCGAACATATATAAATTTATAGAAAGCAGTTAAGGTAAGCCTAAAAAAACAAAATCATATTATTCGAATAATAATTATTTATTCTTTTCAGATAAAGATTGACAAACCAATGTCATATTTTATAAATAAATACTTTATATATAAATAAATATCATTAGAAACACTAATTAAATTATTTTTTTTGAGTGTACTCTGCACTATCGACAACTATCGACGATAGATTTTCTTTGCTATAGCCGATAGTCAATAGTTTATGAAAACTATCAAGCGCTATCGATGGCGCAGACTATCGATAGTTCTCCACCTCTAGTAGGCACCTGAGAGTATGTCATCAACGTACATTTCGTGTTTTAATACGTCTACAGCTTTCGGGTACGTTTGGCTTTCATCTTCCGCAATTTTGTGCATAACTCTGATAGCGGTGTATGGAGCCGAAGCTGTGCCAAACGTTACTGTTGTGAGACAGTATTCATTGATGTTTCCATCCGCCGCCCGCCATAAAATACGCTGGTACTGCGAGTCGTCGGGATGTACATCGATGCAGCGATACATTCGTTGTACGTCGGCAGAAAATACATACTGGTACTGACGCCAGTTTAATATGACTGCGGACATATCGTTTTGAAGTTTAGGTCCGACGCATAATATGTCGTTCAACGATCTGCCGTTTGAAGTCTTCGCTGACGCGTCGAACACTATTCTTTGCTTGGTTGATAGACTTTCTTCCTTGAAAACTGCGTGATGCAGGAGAATGCACGATGCAATGTGATTGCTTCCCGTTGATGTACGTTTTCGTTCATTGGGAGAGACGAGAGCGATTTGATTGAGCTTGAAATATTCTTCAATTCCTTCTTGATACCGTTGCCAGCGCTCTGGCGTTTTAGATAATCGTCGTTCTAGTTGCAGAAAGCGATTAAGAGCAATCTGATGAGATTGTCCTAGGGTCAACGTGGGATCGAATAACGTCTTTAATGGTAATCTAACCATAAAGCGTCCATTTGATTGCCGAATGTGTGTCTTTTGGAAGAAGGACTCACACCAGGTGTCCTCAAATGAATCCGTTTGTCGTTCAGAAACAGCTTCAACTTCACAGAAGCGCTTCAGCAGTGATTCAGTGTCCAAAGCTGCGTGATGGCATCTGAGTTGAATATTCTCCCTTGTTGATTGAATTTTTCCGGATAAGATCCATCCAAATTGGGTATTCTGCGCTATTGGTTCGTGTGACGATCCTATTCTGATTTCCGGCAGCAATATCTGAGCCATAAATTCCGCGCCTATGATCAAATCGATTCTTTTAGACCGGTAATATTGTGGATCAGCCAAGGAAAGGCCTTGAATATGTGACCATTGCTGCGGAAGAATGCTATGAGTAGGTAAATAGGTAGTTAAGGAAATTAAAAACATACGCCGTTTCAACTTCTAAAGAAAATTGCTTATTTATTGTTTGAGCTGTAAAGTTAACTGTGGACTTACAGCGTTGCAAATTATTTTGGCCAACACCATCCTCTGGTGCAGCGAGGAAGAGCATGAGTCTTGCTAAGGCAATTGAGACAAAGTTTCGCTTTGCTCACGAGATCCTTGCGTTGATAACAATCCATGGAGAGAAAAGACGGACAACGTCGAAGGATATGGTTATCACCACAATGACAACAGCGAACGCTGGGGGTCTTTGCTGTATGTTTGTGTTATGAACATGCAGGCGTCTGGAATCTGAATGCGAAGAAGGAGTTTTGTTAGTAAAGGTCGAATTGCGATTTTCAATTGCATCAATAGTAACCAGTCGGTCATTTAAGAATTGCTCGAATTCCTTAAACGTTGGGGCTTCAATGTTGCTGCCCAAGTAGTGCTCCCAGGCGGTGTGCGTTTCTTTCGGTAGCTTAGTGGATAGGTAATGTACCAGCCAGTGATCACATTTTCGTACCGGAACGTTAACTCGTTCGAAGGCGGCTATACAAACATTCACCGTGCTCAGCATGCCTCTCATCTCGTCTGCCTTTTCCTTGTTGAGATTCGGCATGTCATATAGCGCGTTCATGTGATGTGAGAATACTATGCGGCTGTTGTTGTAGCGTTTCACCAGCGTTGTCCATGCCACGATATAATTCGTTTCTGTCAGCTGCATTTGGCGAATGTCACCATCTCGACCTGCTGGAAGTGATTCCTTCAAGAAATGAAATTTCTGGATCTCGCTAAGCCGTGAATTATGATGAATGAGTCTCGTGAACGAATCGTAGTATCCTGGCCAATCGATGTAGTTGCCGGAGAAGGCCGGCACTGGTAACTGCGGCATTTGAATGTTAGCATCCTTATTCGATGATTGAGGCGCGCTGGAGATTGATTCCGTCGGGTTTGCCGCGGCAGGATGTGTGTGCTCGAGAGCTTCTGCGATGGTGCAGTAGGTTTCCATGTAGCGCTCCTCGAACTCAGACGCAAATTTTTTGAGATAATAAGAAGTTTCCGTGTAATTCGCCGAGCAAACGATCGCGTTGTGTGTTTCTGCAAAAGCCTTCGAGATATTATCAACTTTCTCCAAACGTTTGTTAAAATAGATAGGGGTCTTACGGGACGCGGCGTCTTTTCTAAAATTGGTTAAGATTTGTTTCATGGTTTCATGACGATCCATTTACGTTCTAATCAACTCGTCGCATGAAAAACCTTCGCCGTCGTTCGCCATCGCTTTGTTTATTTTAACAAAAATGGATCAGCACTATACTCCACGAGATGTTGATAATATGTGTGTAAATGTAGATGTATAATAATTTGATTACAGTTTGGAACTATGCCCGGTTTTAGAAGCACTGAGTATGCAAACCCACTCAAAAAATATGTATCGACTCTCACACAAGCACTTACCGTTTCCTTTGCATAACTGACCTTAGACAATTGTGAAGGGTATGAGAAGAGCGCTGCGAAACTGATGCGTTGAATTCCCTTTTGCTCCCTTGTTCTGATTCCAGTGGCGTGATGCGAAGCAGCAGTCTAGCGACGATCTATGTATATGTTTATGTACATACATATGTGCAAGCATGCACCGCAAGTAATGTACACGCAGGTAATATTGAACGGGTCCGCCGTCAATATGTGGGATGTAAATTGGAGTTGGAGATCTCCAATAATTACAAATATGAATTAAATTGATTATGATCACACATTAACTTTTGTTAAGCACTTCAAAGTTCCCCTCATGGGCCACCAAAATGTTTTGTGTCGACTGAGCTAGGTATTGCTGCAAGCCTGCATTGTTCGTAGGGGTTCTAACTTTGAAACACACGATATTGATTTTAGTGTTTAACAAACTTTAATGCACAAAAATAATTCAATTAATTCACAATGATATAATGAGAAATTAGATATGAGATAAATGAGATGTCGCGTAGATCTGCTCCGTTCGTTCGATCGACTGCCTCGTAGACTTGACTTTTCGGGAATGATTAATGGGTTATGGTGGTCCTCTCTCAGAGAGAGCGATAGAGAGGAGACATCGCTGCTCTTTGCGATGTATGAAACCGAACATTTACATTTTATATAGTTTTTAAATTTTTCCGTTTGGCCGACATAACAGAACAGAAAAGAACCGCGCGTTGAATTTATATTGCGTATGAAAGCCGAATTTCCCAAAGTATTTTGGTCTGATGGATCAGTTTTATTTTGTACATATTGTGAATGTGCAGTTCAAGGAAAAAAAATGTTCAAAGTAAAGCAGCATATAGCATTATTGAAACACAAAGCTGCCAAAGATAGAGAGAAGAAAAATGCCGATCAGGGAAGCCAATCGTTAATATCGGATTTTGAACTAAAACCAGAACCAAATTTGTCGGAGTTCAATGTGGATCTGTGCAAAACTTTAGTTTTGAAATAAAGAACCGTCTTTTCCAACATATTAGACTATTTTTTGCATGATTCTTTCATATTTTGTTGTATTTTTAAATGAATGTTCACTAGCATATTTTGCTATTTTTTGTGCATATTTGCATGCATATTTTTGCCTTTTTTCGTGCATAACTGTCCGAGCTCTAGTGATGTACATTATGTTATGTGCACGACCCGACTTAAGTACTTCAATAAGTATTCAAAGCAGATATACAAACAACAACAATAAGGAACTATGGCAATGCCTTAAAAGAGTTCTTAGACATCTGAAGGGAATTGTTAATATCAAGCTTAGATTCAAGAAAGTAGCTAATATTAATAATATTCTTACAGGATATGTAGATTC